GTGTTCCCCTCGATGGACATCAAAGACGGAGCCAACCCGCTCACTACCAGAAGGAGCACGAGCCACAGTCTGGTAGTAGTCACCACCATCATCGGGCATCTGCAACTCCCTCCGCAGATGTGCACTTTCGGCCTTCAAACGTGCAGTCTTGACCTTGAGGTGCTCGTTCTGAGCACGCTGCTCCTTGATCTGAGCACGCTCCTCTGCAGGCGTCCGGTGCGGCGGCTTGGGGTTGAAGGGCTCGGCGTTGTCAGGCCCAGGCAGATCCACATCATCAATGTCCTCTGACTCAGGACCGTCTTGCTGATGGATCTCTACCACCGGTCGACCTCCTCCACCTTGCTGCTTTGAGGACTTGCTCGTCCTTGGGGTTGCCTTCACCTTTGGCTTGGGCTTGGGGCGTTCCAGCTTGGCAGGGGGAGGGGAAGTGTTTGCAGCGGCAGCGGCAGGCTTTGCCTTGGCACCAGTACTGAGCTTCGCTTTGGCAGCAGCAGCAGACACACGTCTTGGCCGTGGAGAAGGGACCGGAGGCTCTGGGAGCTCCTCCTCTGCACGCTCCTCAGCATCCGAGGTGATGACCGGGGCAGAGATGAAGCGCTGCTTCTTTTTCGGTCGCGCAGATGCATCCATGGGCGGCTCTGGTTCATGGACAGGCGGCTGTGGGGAAGCAGAGACATCTGCAGCGGGCTCGAGGTTGTTGGAGGGAGTGGCTGGAGAAGTGGTGGCAGCGGCAGCAGCAGCAGCGGTATGGGAGCGATGAACACGAGATGAGTGTACAACATCTGCGTGTCGCTCGGCGTCCAGCTCCTCCGAATCCTCGGACTCAGCAGACTCCTCCTCGTCGTCCGAAAGGCGCTTGCGCTTCCCACTCACCACCTTCGTCGACTTCTTTCCCTTCTTCACCTTCTCCTCTGCCTTCTCCTTCTTCACCCTCTCCTTCTCCATCTTCACCTTCTGCCTTGCTGCCTTCGTCTGCGCCCGGGTCCTCTTCTTTGCTGCCTTCGAGTCCAACTCCTCGATGTAGCCGACGCCGGAGCCAGCTAGCCGGAACATTTCATTGGGGTCACCGCTTTCCTTGGTGTGGAATGGCATTTTCTCCATGATTGGGCCCTTCGAGTGGTTGAAGTCGAGGACAGCAAGGATGGGGGTACCGTTGGCAAGCTCGCAGGGAACGAACTCCCCAAGTGAGGTGGTAGCGTAGGCAAGCAGTTCCTCCTCGGATGCATCTGCAGCAGGCTTGCGGCGGCGGTCGATCGAGGCAATAGCAATATCATCTGCAGATAATGAGTCAAGGTGCGGACAGATGTATCAGCTTCACGACTTACCTGCCTTCAGCTCACACCGCTCAAAGAACAACCCAAAGCAATGGTCGTTGACGTCCAAGCTGTACCGCGGCTCCATCACCTGGTCGAACTCCTCGATTGAGCCCATCTCAATCTGCCCAGTTCCCCGTCCTCCGTGTCGCAGACAATACCGCGCAGTGGAGATACGACCAGTAGCGATCACCTAAAGACACAGAGTCTCAGCGAGTGTAAGACACAGGAGCTATACATTAGCTGTACCTAAAGACACAGAGTCTGTGGTACAAGTCATAAGTAAGGGTCATTAGATCGTAAGGGAGAATGCATACCTCAGCGAGTGTAAGACACAGGAGCTGAGGATATGGAGCGTATAGTACTAGGTTTATATACCAGTCTGGAGCAGATATCATGATGTCATAGTGGAGTAATGATATCATAGATGAGTAATGGATGACGCAATAATGAGGTCAGGTATGAGGTCATTGTGGAGTGAGCCAAAGTAATCTAAGAATACTACTTATGATGTCATGTCTACATACTGTGATAGTCGCTAATACAAACAAGCTTCAACACTCCCACTCGACTAAACAGTCGGATCACGAAGACCCAAAGACAGCTGATGTTGTTGGAACTTCACCCATGCCAAAGACTTTGTGAGCGTGTCTGAGATCATCGCATCAGTCGGCACATGGTAAAGTTGGACATTGCCAGCTTCGACGGATTCTCGTACGAAGTGATAGCGGATGTCGATGTGCTTCGTCCTCCTATCATGAACTGGATTTACTGCCATGAAAATAGTGCCTTGGTTATCAACACAAAGAGGCGTGGATGGCAAGTCATATCCGAGCTCAGTCAACAAAGTGCGGATCCAGGCAATCTGGCGCGTAGCATCGCTCAGAGCCATGTATTCGGCCTCTGTTGAGGACAAAGCGACCGTGGGTTGGCGTCTAGAAACCCAGGTCACTGCACAACCGGCGATGAAGAAGGAATATCCCGTGGTTGAATGCCTGTCGTCTTTGTTCTCCGCCCAATCAGCATCGGAATAACCGATAAGGCCTGCGCCAGTGGAACCATCATAGCAAAGTTGGTAGTTTTTGGTGCCCTGGAGGTGCCGGAGTATGTATTTTGCCATGTTCCAATGATGTTCTGACGGGTTGCTGTTGAACTTTGATAGACGGATGACTGCATAGGCAATGTCGGGGCGAGTACCAAGCATGGCATATAGAAGGCTGCCAATCAGTTGCTGGTATCGGGTACGACGGTCTTCATCAACTTCTCCATCATGCTTCTCGAGCACGATGCCGGAAGGCAGGGGAGTACGAGCTTCTTTACACGAAGACATCCGGAATCGTTCTAGAACTCCTTCGATATAGGAAGCCTGATCGATCCAGATTTTACGCGCTTTGCGATCACGAACTATGTTCAGACCAAGGAAATCCTTCAGGACCAAGATCTGTCATTTTGAAGCGGTTCGCGAGCAATGATTTGATCCGCGCTATCTCCGGCAGATTGTTGCCCATAATGAGCATATCGTCAACATACAGCACCAAGATGATGACCGTATCTCCCATTTGTTGGTGATATGTGTAGACACCGGCGTCGGAGTATGTCCGAGCAAAACCAAGTTCGAGGAGGGCATTGTGGATTTTGATATTCCACTGACGAGACGCCTGTTTCAACCCATAGAGTGATTTACGAAGGCGTGCCACCTTTTCTTTTGGCCATGACGAGAAACCTTTGGGTAATTCCGGAAGTTCCATATAGATTTCTTCCTCCAGATCCCCGTTTAGGAATGCCGTTTTGACATCCATGGCATGAATCTCCCAATCTTCGAGAGCAGCCAGAGCCATAAGTATGCGCAAAGATTCATAGCGCAATACTGGCGAGAAGGTCTCATCATAGTCAAACCCATGAACCTGAGTGAATCCCTTGGCAACAAGTCGTGCTTTGAAACGACCGTCACGCTTCCTGCTAAACACCCATCTGCATTTGACAGTCTTTCGACCGCGTGGAAGGCTGGTCAAATCCCAAGTACAGTTTTCCTCGAGAGAGTCCAGTTCTTCGCGCATTGCGCGCTCCCACTTGAGTGCATCCGGGCTCTTTGCTACATCCCGCACGTTTTGAGGCAAGTCATGCTCAGCTTGGGCAGCTGACAACATAGACTCAATGCTGCTAGGCCTCTGATACGTAGTTCCATCTGGCATAATGCGGGGCTTATTCCGACGAGGGCGGCGATGGGCAATCGGGCGATCGTCTATCGGGCCAGGCATTAGGGGTACTTCTCGCGATCCCGTGACAGGACCTTGTTGCGCGAGGGGTGCCAGTGGCGGTGGGAGAGCAGGAGGTGGTATGCTTGCATAAGGCGTTGCAGGCGCAGGATTATAGATAAGGTCAGGGAAGGTTTCCTCGAATGGTGTGAACGGCTCCGGTCCAGAGGACACATTGCCGGTGACTAGCTTGGACTTGGCAGGGAATACTCGCTCATCGAACTCAACATTTGAAGAGACTCGTATCTTGCGTTGATTCGGATCCCACACTTTCCAAGCTTTTGTCTCTCGTTCGTATCCAACGAAGATGTGGTCGGGGCGTCCATGCTCCAACCCTTTCGGGCGTTTTTCAACATCCACATAGAGAGACGCCTTGCATCCAAACACACGGAAATAAGAGACGTCTGGCTTCTTTCCAAGCCACAGTTCCGCAGGTGTTCGCCATCCCAATCGTGCCATAGGTTGTCTATTATGAACGTGGACAGATGCATCCATAGCACATTGCCAGAAGCCTTTGGATAGGCCGGCATCGAGGCGCATGCATTCCGCTTTCTCGTACGCTGTGCGATTCCAACGTTCAGACCTCCCATTTTGCTGTGGTTCGCGTGGCGCGGACTTAGGGTGCATAATACCACGTGCATTGAGCCAGGCTGTGAGTTCATCGGACATATATTTGCCTCCACGATCTGACCGGAAGGCCAGTACTTTTGTGCCAAGCTGACGCTCTGTAAGGGCAACAAAGTTTTTAATCGCAGTAGAGGCTTGGTCCTTTGATTTAATGAACACCATCATGCCAAAGCTCGAGAAATTGTCGTAGAACGAAATTGTGTAGCGTGAACCTTCCAACGACTGAGTAGGCCAGGGGCCCATCAAATCAGTGTGGATAAGCTCGAGGGGTTTGCTAGCACGTTTCTCTGATGCAGGGTACGGATGCTTGTGCTGTTTTCCAAGCATACATCCATCGCACATGCCGCGCTGGTCTTTATTGCGTCGCAAGGGGGGAACACCTTCAACTTGTGTCGGCAAGTGAGAAAGGGTCCTCCGAGCCGCATGACCAAAACGCTTATGCCACAATTCACGATCGGTAGTTTCCAGGGAAGCGAGCGCGGTAGACTCGTGAGATGCAGACACAGATGGTGCCACGAGCTCCTCGGGGTAGTACCAGTAGCAGCGATTGCTTGCTTTAAAGGTCATCAAGACATCCCCATGCGCTTTTCCCTTGTTGAGCCAATCCTTGGTGACTAGGATTGCCTTGTTGTCACCAACCACGGTGTAGTAACCAGCCTGATCGAGCGCATACCCAGAAAGGTAACGCCCTCTTATGTGCGGGTTGTAGATGACATCCTTCAGCGTGAAGGTGTAGTCGATGCCACTACGAGTATGACCCCGCAACACAATATCTCCAACGGCTTCATTCTTGAAGCGAGCTCCCGACCCAACGATTACATAGGTGTCGATAGGTCTGATGTTGTGAAGATCAGATTGGGTGTTTGTCATATGATGCGTACAACCCGAGTCCCATAGAAAACGAATTTTGGAGTCGTCTCCCATTTCTTCAACAAAAATTCCATCATCGATGTGTTTGAGGGAGTCACTCATGAGATAGGACGAAATGTGCATTCCATTGGAGGCAGCTGCAACCGCGGGAGCGGCTACAACTTCTTTTACAGTGCTAGTACCATCACCGCTCTTCTTTTCCTTCTTCTTTTTCTTCTTCCCCTCATCCTGCTTCCCCTTGCCTTTGTCAGAAGATTGACCAGTCGGCTTGAGGTTGGGATACTTCTTGTAGCAGGATGCCGCAACGTGACCGGACTTGTTGCAATGAGTGCAGCGGGTGGCAAGGGACGGAACGGTGGAAATCTTCGAGTTCGACGTCGTGTCGAGGTTCTCGATCTTGATATTCCCTATGACGCTGTTCTTGACATCGACTGGGTTCAGAGAAGCGATAGGACGATTGGCCAGATAAGAGGTGACAAAACCTCTGCTGGAAGCGGGCAAAGCGGCGAGCATTAGAGTTGCGAAGAGGTAGTCAGGGATCTCGATTCCTCCTTCCGAACACTGGCGACGACGAGTCTCCATTTCCATGATTTGCTTTTCAATGGTATCACCACCGTGGAAGGTGGTGGTGTTCAGGAGGCGGTACTCGACGAAAGCATCGATGGCATTTGGTTGGCCATAATCCGTCGCCATTTTCGCAAAAACCTCACGCGCAGTGCGCTCCCGCTGACCGTCCATAAAGATTCCCTTGCGCAGATTCTGGGTGATATAAACCCGCGCAAGACCCAGTGCCTTTTCATTGGCAACGTCCCATTGATACTGGCTGTCACCAGCCGTTCCAGGACGCTCCATAGAACCAGGGTTTGAGGTAGATGTGCCGTTAACCATAATATGAGTGGGTTTAACCACTCCCCAGGTGCCCTGATGCATGCAGATGCTCATGTAGTTGTCCGACCACGTATTCCAATTGGTGCCATCGAAGACACTCAGAATGGAGTTGTTGAGTTTCTCGATTCCCGACATGGTGGGGAGATACTCGATAACGTCGGCGGTTTGGTAGTGAAGAGAGGGGAATTCGATATAGGGAGGATCACCGAATAGAGATCGAAGTTCTGGAGTCCAATTCTCTTGGTGATGGAAGAACTCTTCGTTATCGTGTTCTCCAAGATCGTATAGATCCCTCCAATCAGCGTCTTGGAGAGGAATGTAAGAAGGTCCCTGAGCCCAGCGGACAACAGGAAATAGGATAACCCCAACGGGAGGGTCGTCTGGTGATGACAGGGTGATAGAGATGACTAGAGCGACAAAGTCAGCCCCAGATTCTCTGCAGACCAAGAAACAAAATCCCGAGTGCCAAATCTCTGAAACGAGAACGACCAAGCGTCCCCATCCCATCCATGATGCCCATATACGCGCGGGGAATGATAACGAAATAAAGCGGTATAGTAAGTGCCCATGTTTGTATCAAAGTAACGTAACTATATACGTCAGCGGCGGCAGTACCCGACGGTGATTACTGCCCTCGCAGTCCGTCACTGGCCAAGGGACACGTGCCCAAGGCCGTCCCAAGCACCGGGTTTGGCCGCCCATCTTCTCCCTTTTAAAGACATGCATACACGCAGAGCGTCATTGCATGAATCCTCGTAGTGTCACCAGCCCGCAGGGTCCCTTGTGAGGAATGCGAGTCAACCCCGAAGGATTGTTTTGCCTGGCGGAGGGATTGACCTCCAGCAGCTGTTGAGAGCTACCACACCACCTAGGCGCTTCGCGCAAGGTTCAGGAGTGGGATTGACCAAAGGACCAGTGCCTGGTGGGTATGTCCGCTGTACAATAAAAAGATGTAACGTAAAACGCGCGTGAGCAATCATGGACGGAATAGCTAACGGCACGTCTGCCAACTGAATGACTCCCTGACGCCGCTCGCGTACCCCTTGAGGGTGAGAGCACAAATGCGAGGACCGACATCCAGCAAGTGGGACGAGCGCACAAAGACGGCGCTCTAGAAGGGCTGAACGAGTGAAAGATACTCGCCTTAGTAAAGGGAGTAGTTCGATGTTTCTTGATTTGCCGCTAGTGGTTCAGGCGGTGATAGGCTGGCTACCAGACGCGCTCTGCACCAGCTCTGTAAGGGCGTATTTTTGCGCTTTTTACAGAGTTTACTCTTGAATCACTCGGTGTATCGTGTCGCGGTTAACAGTGTTGCGCTCAGTAGGACTTATGGGTCTACTGCCCAGTCGACGACTGTGGATAGTGTCGACGATAGCAAGGCAGTCAGACCACTACTGTGGAACTGGTCTTATGAGTCTACACCAGGCTCAGGGCCATTAGTGACGAACGCTTGGACCGCGACCATTCCCCAAAAAGGGATATGTCGTTGCGTCGACTTCTCAAAAAAGGGTCATTCTCTGCAGATGGGAACTTGGGCTGAAGGGCTGAGCAATGCGCGACGTTCTCAATAATAGAACTACTACTGGACAGGACTTGGCGTTACAAGACTTAAACCATCTTGTCGCGGCAACTCCCGGTTTTGAGTTGGACGTTTCCTCAGATCATGCCACGACGACGACTTGTCACATGTCAGGATCCATTCGATCACGGGACATTGTGGACGCGTCGCGGTGACACTTCCAAGTGTCACGGCGAGTCGCGCCCATACTCAAACACACTAAAATCGATACGGCTAGATCCGTGAACCGAGCCATGTGGGAGACGATTGGCGTGCCTAGAGCCATACGGCTTCTTGGGGCGCCCACGTTGGTCTCACATGCCAAGACATACCCGTTGGCCAATCCAGCACGTCGTATTCCAAAAGTATGACGCGGTGAGTTGGCCCACATCAAAAGTATCATATGGACAATGGGGCGGGGTCCTGATCACTCAGGACCTGTCCGATCGTTCAACTTTCAATTACCCTAAAAGGCAACCGATCTTAGATAGCGTAGCTACTATGCAGTTGTACAGGACTTTACTAAGCAGCGTCGTAGACAGTATAAGTAGCACGTTGTCTCTTTGTATTAGGAAGCTTTCCCCCGGACTGTGAATCACTCTCATTTCAGATTGTTTTGTACAATTTGCGTGCCGCGTGATTCCACCCTAAGAAGTTCTGCTACCCTGCCCGGTCGTGACGAGCTGCTCCCTGAGCACTTGTAGCTACTGTGATTTGAGTTTGAGTTGAGATATCAGAAAGTCGGGTTCGCCGCATCTGGTATTGTCGCGGCATTTAGTGTCGTCGCCTTCGGGCTTTGTTGAGATTGTTCCACACCTCTAGCTTGGCAGTGCGTCGACTAGTTGTGCTCGGGTTGTTTTGGTCAGTTGGCAGTGCGTCGACTTGAGAACTTTGGTTCCACACTCCTTGCTTGGCAGTGCGTCAACAAGTTGTGCTCGGGTTTTGGACATTGGATATTGGCTGTTAGTTGGCAGTGCGTCGACGCGGCATTTTGGTTCTACTAGTTGGCAGTGCGTCGACTCAGTACTTTTGGTTGTGTCAGTTGGCAGTGCGTCGACTTGACATTTTGGTTCTACTAGTTGGCAGTGCGTCGACTCAGTATATTGGTTGTATCAGTTGGCAGTGCGTCGACTTGATATTTAGGCTTTGCGTCGCCATCTGGATGCTGTCGCTACAAGGGATCTTAATACTTCGTATTAAGCTCTGACTTGTTATATTGTTGTTGTGGATTGGATTAGTGTTGATTGTGGTCGTATAGAAGATATTGGTTGAGACACCACTGTTTGCTATATATATATATTCTTGTCGTCGACTCCGTCTCCGCGACTATTGGATCTGCGTCTATTGAGAGTTGTGATACTGGTGCTCTGTCCACCCCGAAGCCCTCACACCTTTCACACACTGAGAAGCTGATTACAAGGAGTGTGAACGTGTTTATATTTGGGTTTACTTTCATAGTAGATTCACTTGTGAGCACGCCCTCAGCATTTCATCTGGAGCCCACCGCGAGGGGCTTCTAAAGTTTCATAAACTTTAAAAATCAATAAACCGGATTCTTTACCGCGACGTCGGATAGAGACCAAGGGTTTATCCTGCGAAGCAGTTTATTCCGATCCCAAGCTCCTGCGCGACCTCTTGAGGACCAAGCGGAGATTGAGACTGAAGGAAACGCTTCAACCTCAGGACCTTTCGAAAAACCACGAAGGTCTGCAAGACATAAAACACCTTTGTATCTACCACCCTTGCCTTCCAAGGCAAAAGGAAAACAAAGAGTGAATTCGACGTCGAAGCTTCCAGCTTTAGACGCAGCTACTTCGAGTTCGACGACAATCAGTCGATCTCAGACTAGCTCACAAACCCTCTCAGAATTGTCTAGTAGCGTCACCGCTACAAACACGAATTCTAACAACATCCCTACTTCCCCTGTGACTTCAGTCGCGACAACTATGGCTCCAAAGACTGGGTTCAAAATCCCCCAACCTTGGGACACAAGTAGACCTATACTTGATGAAAAGGATCCCCTGTCGATTGAGGCATATTTGCGTCACTGCGCGCAGATCGTGGAGGATGGTGGCATCACAGATGTCAAACAAGCAAAAAGCATGTACATCCGTTATTTGCCGTCGCGGCAAGTAATGGACGTATGGGAAGGTCTCGATACCTATTCCGACGACACGAAAACTGTCGCGGAGTTCGAGGCCGAAATATTGAAAGGATACCCTGAGGTGTCCAAGCGAAAAACGGGGACCATGGCGGATCTAGATAGACTCTGTCGCGAGAACCGTGGAATCAAAATAACGGATGAAGGAGATTTGAAGCGTTTCGGCCTTCAAATGTATAGTCACTACAAGCGACTGTCAGTCCCTCCTGCCATTATCACCAACAAAGTCGCGTGTGAATGCTACATGCGTACTTTGGACTCTGAGTTCAGTACCGTCTTGAGGAACGCTTTGGCTACGAGTCAAGTATTCAATAAGCGCTATCAAACTCGCGCCGGGATAGCAAACGCTAATGTCCCCGCGACTGGAGTCAATCGGCAGGACGACCCCATCCAGTTGAAAGAACTAATGACAATGGCGGAAGAAATGGCGTCGACGTTGAGCAACGAAGACGAAATTCCCATAATCGCGCGACCTCCCAAGGTTCGTTTCGACTATGAGACTAGTCCACCCAACCATGCTAAGGTTGAGGAGTTGGAAAACTCGATTTCCAACTTGAAGGATTCATTTCTTCTACACCAAAAAGAGCTACAGACTCAGTTGCAGGAAGCGCTGAAGACGTTCGTACAGACTGCTCGCGAAGCGCCCATACAGCGGTCGCGGCCAGTAGGCAACAACTCTTCTGTGCCCCACTTTGAAAGTCGCGCACAAGGAGGAGCTGCCGCACGGAACGACGATTGTCGCTACTGTGGACAAACTGGTCATTGGTCGAACGAGTGCCCGCTCAAGAGGTCTCACATTGAGAAAAACCTTCTCAAAGTCGACACCAAAGGGATGTGGAGGCTCTTCGACGACAGTTTCCTACCAAATGGAGAAGGGACTCAGGGACAACGAGTAGAGGCTTACTGGAAGAAGAAGGGCAAATCCGTCAACTTCCAGGACTCCTACTACTTGGATCAGTTCGATAGTCGCGACAATGATGATATGTCCGACTACCCTGAAGAAGTGGCAGATGAGATACGCTCCCTTCGAAGTCAACTCATCCAATACGAGAGGAAGTCGTCGCGACCAACCCCAGAAAGTCGCGCTGAGCCAAAGACTCAAAGAACTGCATCTGGTTCAAC